CATGAGTGTAGGGTCCATATATATATATATATTAAAAGTTGTAAAATATTATTCAATGTAAAATTTAATTAATAAATCCATTTTACTTCATCTAATAATTAAAATCGTCACAAAAAGTCCCCACAAGTCTGATATTACATCATGTATATAAATTTATATATCATATACGTCAAACTGAGTTTGTCCCCTGGAGCAGAGGGCAGCTTGGGGCACCCCTGCGGAACATACTGTAAAAAACAGCATTCACTTTTTTCTTAGAATCTCACAAAATCACATAAATTTTGATTTCGACATTTTTTTTGAACATTTAATGAAACATCTCAAAAATTTACAAATATATCGATTTTTACAAGTAAAATGACGTTTTGTAAGTAATTTTCCAAAACATTTTCGATTTATTTAACAAAATGTCATTGAATAATTTTTACGACTTTTTTCATTGTAAAAAGATTCATTGAAAGATTGCGATTTTAACATTGCAATAGGACTTAAATGTGTGCATGTTTTTTTTTATTATGAATACGATATAAATTATAGCTTATAATTTATGATCTAATTAAATAACAATAATTATTGTTATCAAATAAATCAGATCACAATATATGATCGAATTTATATCGTATTTAAAAATATGTATGATATAAATTAGGAAATGGTTTCGTAGTTCCTCATGCTTTTATCTTTTGACACAGACAGGACACGACCGGTGTCCGCTCTAATTACAAGCAAAAATATATTTTGAAATTATTAATTATTAAAAAACAGTCTAATAGTTTTAAAAAAATCTGTTAGATTATTGGAATTATATTTAATCTATTCATATTCAAAAATTTATCAAAAATTGATTTTGTAAATTAAAAACAATTCAATGCTGAATAACTGTTTCTCTTAGATAACTGCAAATTTAAAAAAATATTGCTTGGAAGGTTTTGCTTTTAACGCAGAAAAGAAACAGCAGGTGTTTCATGCTGTATTTCATAACCAAAAATAATTGAAATGCTAAATGTAATATTTTTCACTTATTTCGATCTAAATTGTTAAAAAATAATGAAAAAAAAGAAAATCATGTTTAATAAAAATTTTAAAGTCAAAGAGATAAGAAACGAAACGTAAAACGGAAACGCATGAATGAACGCAGCAACTTAGTTCTATTCAATGCGCTCTAAATAATATATAAAGTATTAATATCAGATGAGAGCAAAATGTCTTATCGTACTATAAAACAGCCATCTCGCAAACTGGGCAGGGAATACAGATTACGAACGTACATCACGTATAAAATATTAAGTAATCTCATTTCCGGTGTCTCCTCTATTAAATACGGTGTTTTTATACAATGCACGATTTCGTTTTGTTGTTTTACGACATTTATAAAATGCTTTTTGTAATCCTCACCAGTAGATCCACTTGGTCTGAAGGCGTGAGAAATATCCTTCCGTTAACGCTTAATCCAGTTGGAACGCTCACTTCAGAGTCTTTGAAGATGACACGCTCTACAAAAGAAGATTAAAATGTTGTCAAAAAAATTTTCGAAACATCTGATTAAGCTTGTATAAATTTATTCAAGATATAAATTAGACTTGTTTGAATTAGTTTCCTTTTAAATTTATTAAGATAATTTACGAGTAATTTCGGATCGAATATCAGAAAATACTCAAAAAATATAAAAAATTACAGCAAAAATATGGAAACCCACTCAGTAAGAACAGAAAATATTACGCTCATTTTCTAAATTGGAATCGTCTGCAAATTCACATATTTTGTTTACTCGTACATTTATTTATTCAAAATCTCGTCTGTTGTTCTCAATTCAAATTTTTTGACATTGTCTGCAAGATTTCTAGTCTGCTAACAAACCTATGAAGTTAAGACTTGGAAATTGGTTTGAGTACAGCATATTGCTTAAATTCATACTATAACTTGAATATGGATAAATATTTTATATTTTTGATCAAAGTAAATAATATTTATTAATAAAAATCCAAATTCTATGAGCTAGAATGGTTTTAAAGAAACTTACTATTAAAAGTTATTACAAACCAGTAACATGTTTTTTAGGACATTTATCGTCTGCGCAAGATGTCATAGTATTCTTTTTCCTTTTCTTCAAATGTTAACTCTAAAGAAAGATGAATTATAAAACTTACTCGCCATTTTTCAGAAAAAGTGCTATTTACATAATGTCTGTGCTTATTTTGAACTCCTGAACTCAGGTAAATTAAAAAAGTTTTTTAAAAAAATGTATATTGATGATTTTTAGATGAAATTGAAACCACCTGATTGGGTCCAATTTCCGTTTGTACTAGAGAAAACTTACATTCAAAAATTTGCCCACATTCCGTTCGGAAAGCATGCTTAAATTTGTAATGAGAGGCAAAATTTCCTAGAAGAAAGTTATGCTTATAACAATGCACTTTCTTATGGAAACTCAGACTACTTAAAAAGGGAATTGGTAAACTTTTATAGAAAAACGTGTAAAGTCAAAATTTTAAAGCCAAAGAAAAACGTGTAAAGTCAAAGAAAACATACATTTTAAAATCTATTTCGTTCCTTCATAAATTTGATATTTTTTCTTATCAACTACTATATATTAACTAATATAGAAATATTAACTTCGTTAATAAACGAAGTTGGCAATATGAGACTTGCTTTTGAAATTATCCGAGCTGTCTGATTTTCTGCTTTAGGAGGCTGTATCGGATGTCAATACAAGATTCAGAACGTTACTGATTCTAAATGCTGTTCAATTAGAGTTTATCACTAAATAGAAAGAGAATATCGAAATAGTCTATAAACAAGTACAAAGCTAGAATAGAGAAATTAATAAGCTTTTGAACAGCAGCTTTCTTACAGTTGATAAAAATAGAGAATTAAAATTTTCATCACATTTAAAACAAAAAATATGGGTGTAAATCACTTTTGTAATAAATTTCAATTTCCAACTGGGTGATTACAACTCAAAGAGAAGTTAAGTGATTATGCATTACCATGTGATTTAAATCAGATTTAACTGGACACCTGTAAGAAATGTCACACGTATGGGTCAAACCTGACTAGCTTCCGAATCGACAAATGCCAGGATTTACCTACGATAACGTCACTTGCAAGTATTAAGTTAAAATTATTTAAGTTTTATATGCTAAGATAATAATTATGATAAGAAACTTATTTTCACACCTTATAGCAAATTTAAAAAAAAAAAAAAAACAGGTTAAGACAATGCAATTACCTGACGTCGACTTAACTTCGACGAGCAGAAGTTCATCTTTAAAGCCCAGTTTTTCTGCGGCACTTCTTTTGATGGCTTCGGCTGTAGCACCAACTCCAGTCTTGATAGTTGTGTAAGTATGATCAGCACAATAGACTCGGAAGACAACTAAACACACAAACATGAGATTTTTTTTTTAACTAAAATAATTCTTTAAAAAAAAGGAAATTGTAATTTAATATCAATCTCAGTAAAAGTGAGTATACTTTGCATAGGCCAACAACATTAGAAATTGATTTCTATGGCTCATTATAGTAATAAGACATACTTGACATACTTTTCCCCATGAAATAGTTCTTAAATACTGATTTCGTTTAAATACTTTACATGTTTTTTTCTCAACAATTTAAAAATTATTGACAACTTTAAAATGTGACTAATCATAATGCCTCAAATACAAATATAGAGAAATTTAAGATTTCAGAACACACCTTAAACTTGTATTTGGTTTAAATTTATTTTGCTATTATAGTACTTTTTTATCGAGTAATAAAATCGCGATTGAAAATAGGGTTTAATTATATATTGCTCTAAAGTAAAGGTACGAAACAAAATCTAATAATATATTTTGAACGTAGTTTTAACTATACCTGAAGCAAATATAAAGGGAAAAGAAAAAGGAAATATAATTAAAGCACTTTGATTTTTTAAATTCTTTTTTATTATTATTTCTAATGACTCGATAAAAAAAAACAACTGTAGCAATAAATAAAAAGAACTTAAGAGGCTTTTAAAATCACCAATTTGGATTTCAACTTACGTAATGTAAATGCATTTTCATTAATGATTTTAAAAAAAAAAATTTAAAATCATTAATAAAAATGCATTCTCAATTCTTATATAATTTCAGAAATACATATAATAACCAAAAGCAAACTAATTTTTGCACTGCCTGCTAAAATAATTCTGAAAAAAAAAATTTCATTTTCTAAAATATTGTGTCACACCTAAGAACATAATTATAATTCTCATCTATTAAAATAATTCTGAATATCATCTATTAAAATAATTCTGAAAAAAATAAAGGAAAACATTTTCATTTTCTAGAATATCGCATTCTAGGAAATGATTCTGAAAAGAATTACAGAATCATTTCCTAGAATGCGACAAATAATTCTGAAAAGAGTAAAAACATTTTCATTTCCACAAATTATAATTTATTTTTCTATTTTATTACCTCTATATTCTTTCAAACATCAATTATTGTTAGTCAAACTGGTAATAAGGATAGATGCCCACAATTCTAAAATTCAACTTACCTTCATCAGAGTATTTGATACATCTTCTAAATTCCGTCCTTTCTTCATCTTGAGATTCGCTCGCAGACAAAAGTCTTATTTGACCATAGGGGCCAACTTTCCACCGATAAGTGACACCGATCACTTCTTTATCGTATCTATTAGTAAAAAAATAAAAAAAAAACAATCAGGTATTTTTTTTTACATACAAACAAAAATAATAAATAGACCAAAGCAATTTTGGAGAATGGACTTACTTGTGCTTTGTTTCTAGTATTCGAGAAATGATCGAGAGTTCTTCGTGCAATGTGAACTTTTTACAATCTTCAACGACTGAATCGTGCAGTTCCTATAAGTTGCAACATAATAATAAAAAAAATGCAAAAAATAATTCAACACAAAATTAACTTTCATTGCATTACTTACACAAAAAATATTTGCGGATGATTATTAATCTCTGATTTATTAATTTTCAGCTTGTGTAATAATAAGAAAAATATTTTAAATAAAATGGAATGAAAAGGTGCTTTATAATTTAATGTATCGCAACTGTCCACATTTATCGCACATCGTACAAATCAAAATCGATACATTAATGCAAACACCATTATTTTGGTACTCCTAGATTAAATAAAGATCATTACAACTGTGAACTTATTGCTCCAGATTTCAGAGGGAGAAACGAATTTTTTTGTCTCAATGCATAAAACATAACTATTAAGACTAAGTTTGAATCAATATTTGTATCGAATATTCGAGATTATAGCTTTAAAAATCCCGAATTTTTATTTAATTTTTAAGTCAGGAAAAGAGCGAAATTAGCAGTTTAAATAATTAAAAATTGCCCTTAAAACTGATTGAAACTACTTTAAGCTGTAGTATTTAGCCTAAGCCTGTACTGGGCCCGAGTTCTGCCTATGGAACTCTTTATTTATACACCAATAACAAAATCGACAAAAAATTAAGCTTAAAAAAGGATTTTAGCTCATTACTAACAAGCTTATCTAATATTCTTATCTAATATTCTTGTCTAATATTCTATCTAATATTCCATCTAATAACAAATATTCTATCTAATATTCTATCTAATATCTAATATTCTATATAATATCTAATATTCTATTTAATATTCTATCTAATATTCTATGTAATATCTAATATTCCATTTAATATCTAATATTCTATCTAATGTTCTATCAAATATTTAATATTCTATCTAATATTCTATCTAATATACCATCTAATATCTAATATTCTATCTAATATCTAATATTCTATCTAATATTCTATCTAATATCTAATATTCTGTATAATATCTAATATTCAATTTAATATCTAATATTCTATCTAATATAAAACTAAAATAAACCCGAGGCCGGGATAGCTTAATATATGTGCATGTAAGATACGGAAAAAATATAACGAGTAGTTAATAAAATAGAAAATAGTTTAAAATAGCCAATAAAACTACCATAATCGATAAACCTTTAGGTCTGCCAGATATCGCGCAGTCGAACACTTCCTTAACAACAACCGGTCAATTATATAGAAAGAAAAATCTGTTAAATTGACTACCTCATGCTGATTACTAATTCAATATTAATAATAATTATCAAACTGCCAAAAACGATCAAATTTCCTCCTTTTTCAGAATTTCTTGGTAGTTTTTTTTTTCTTTTTGAACTTTAAATAGAAAAAAATCTTAATAATAAAGCAAACTTGAATATGATCGATACTTGACTAGTATATGTTTCCTAACTTATTCTTTTTTCTAAAACAGGTGGCAAGAAATGGAGTCATCTAACGGATTTCCGGTCATTGAAAATAGTAAGTTCGGAAGTTGTGATGCAATTTTATCTAAATATCCCTCGCGGGTCATTCATAGAAGAAGCCACCATTTAAGGACAAACGGATAAAGTGTTTTTATTTAACGTACAAATAAATTTTGAAAAAAAAAAAGGTTTTATTGATTTCTTAGTTAAAGATAATATTTGTGTCGTTACTTTTGAAAGTGGAATAAATCCATTTTTCATGTCGAGGTTTTTAAGAGTTAGTGTTTGAATAAATTTAAAAAAATATTTGTAAAAAATCAATTAATTTGGGTAAACTTTTTAACATTATCATTTTATGAAACATCAAAACGCAATAATGGATATTAAAATCGTTGAAACTTAAAAAGATTTTTTAAGGTCAACTTATTAGACTTTCATGAAATAACAAATCGTTTCTCTTCGTTTGCAAAAAAAACTAAGAAACATTCAAGTCCGCTAGAAAAGGAATTTTATATTGAAGAAGATTTATGAAAATAAGGGTTTGGTTACAATTTTTTAAACTTTTCAAATTTAATATAACAGTTTAAGAAAAAAATAAATTTATTAGTCCTAATTTTTTGATGATTTTTTTTAAATTATATGTACTAATAATGATTATTTGCTGCTTTAGAGCAGTGTTTCCCAAAGTGTGGTACACGTACCCCCAGGGATACGGGAACAGTTTAGTGGGGGTGCCCGTTCTTATGAATTCAAAAAAATTTTATTTAAAAACAAAGCTAGCCATTAAAATTTATGATTACGTATTTTTTTATTGGCTATTTTTGCAGCGTTAAAAGTTAATAATTAGTGGTGTCAACAGCGAGTTGTGATATTTAACTTTTGTGCAATTCTTTTTTATAGTAAAAAATACATTTATTTCTTTTTATTAGTGATACACAGGGTTACGAAAAATTTAGAAAGGGTACACAAAAGTCATAAGTTTGAGAAACACTGCTTTAGAGTTTCTACCATTTCTCCTATTTACTTCTCAAAGTTTCAAAACTGAACGGTACGTTAGTTACAAATTGTTAAAAAGAACGAAGAAAAAAGTTTTTATTTCAGTTACATTTTCTGAATGTATGTTTAGTTAAAAAAATATTATACAAAATTTAGTTTTCCCAAAATAATTTAGGAAAGCAAGCATTGTGTTTACAGCAATTATGGTGCTGCTGACTGAAAAATATAAGCTTAATATGAACTAGTAGAACAAAACAAACCATATAGTTGTATTTTCGGTATTTCAAATTATTATTGAGTTTCCCGCACTCATTTTAGTTATAGCATCCGTACTCATTTAGTAAAAATCATAACTGTCCTGTACTCCATTTAGTAAAAATATAAGTGAAATTCTTACCTGTAAAAAAGATGCTATGCTGGCATCTTCAAAAAATGCTTCTCTAATGACAGTCGCCCAAATTTGTACAAATTGTAAGACACGTTTCTTATTGGCTATAATAAACTCCTTTTCTTGCTTGCAATTTGTAGCATCAATCCTATAGGTATCATTAGTTAAGGTAACTAAACGATGATAAATAAATGTTTTAATTATTATAACTTACTAAGAATATAATAAAACACACACATTGTAAAATAACTTATATTTTAGAGTTACATAAATAATAAAACGCATAAAAACTTAATTTTGGAACAGTTTTGAAACTTTCCCGAGACATTTTATTTATTTTGAAATTTTCCTTTTTTTACAGTATTCATTACCATTCGTACACGATTTCGATAAAGTAAAAAAATATCTTGATAATGAAGCAGCTAAATATTAAAGACTAAGTTTCAAAACATTAGGTTGTTAAAAAGATCTCGTTTTCAGCAATAATGAATCAAAACCCAAAGTTCAGTTTTATCGAAAGTCATTTAGAACTTATTAATAAAAGTTTAAACTAAGAACATTAAAAAACAAACACACAAAATAAAAATTTATAAAAGTTGAAATTTTTACAAGAGGTGCAAAACTTTTTTAACAATCCAATAAAAAAGTTCTGGTACACTTGCGAAAATTTCAAATTTTATAAATTTTCATTTAGTGTTATAATTTTTTGGTGTTCTTAGTTTAAATTTTCATCAATAAGCTCTAAATGACTTTGGATAAAACTGAACGTCAGGTTTTGACTCGTTATTGCTATAAACGAGATCTTTCAGCAAGGGATTCTGCAAGGGGTGTTGCAGAACTTTTTTAACAACTTAATACTTCGTATCATTTACAGAAAACAAAACTTTACTTGACGTTTATGCGTGATCTATGAAAAAGTGCATGTTAAACAAAAATTTTATTTATTTATTTACATGCTGTATAATGAGTCCAGTTTTGTAAAAATCAACATAAAATAACTTTAATACTATAGATATATTTTCCAATGATCGATTATATATAATTGAATTTATTAAACTGCTGGATCTATAACGTTCTATCAATGTAATAAAATCGATAGCGTTCAATATGAAGACATAACTGGTATAACATATCATAAAATATTAAGTTAAAATTAAACATAAATTTATAGCATTTTAACACCCTTTATGAACAAAATAAAAGCTGAATAATTAAAAAGGATATTGTCTCATAAGCTCAGGACATAGTTGGTGACTTGGCATAAATATCACATGGGTGAGAAGAAAGTCTTCCAAAAATGTATCTGAAATTTAAAAAAAGTATTGAGATATTTAAAGGAGTCATATATTTTTATGTCATATCAATACACTATAAATTAATATGCTTTTAATCTTGAAGCTAAAACAAATTCATAGCTAAATATCAAATTCATTAAAATTTTTAAAAAAATGGATATATAAAATGAAGTTTTCTAGCTTAAGTTAAATTGCTTAATTCAAGCTCAATTTTTCTTAATCGAAGGTGGGAACATTAGGAAAAAACTACTACTTTGCATTGTATGAGACTTACTTATCTGTAATTCAATAAAATAAATTCCGAAATACAGAATAGACGAGGTTCATATAAATAGTTTTGTAGAAAACGCGTTCGCAGTTTTAAAATTTGTATAGGGTCCCTCTGACACGATTCTGCATCGTGCATTGTAACTCTAACAAACGTTCGAATTTAGGAAGTTAATTGTAATTGCTGTTTCATGCAAAATTCGCTAATTAATAATAAAAGTAATTTATTTTAAAAAAAGAAGAGGGAGAGTGTAAAAAAATGTCAAAAATTTGAAGTCATGTGCAAAACAACGGTAAATCTCCTAAATTCAAAATCCCAGCAAATCATAAAATCGACTGCAACAAATGCAGGGAAACTTCACTAGTTCAAAACAGTTAAGATTGTGTTACACATAAGAAATAAGCATACATTAAAGTAAAAATATGCTAAAAGTAAACATTTCAAGAAAAAAACATATTTTTTAATTATTTATTTAATTTTACTTTGTTACTACAAAAAATTTCTTAAATACATTCATATATGCTGTCTATTGTAAGATATATGCTACATACATACATGTATGCATATATGCTGCCTATTGTATTGTCCACAAAGATATTCTTTTCCATAAAAAGTTTTTAAAAAATTATGCCATTGTCAAAAACTGTGTCTTTTTAAACTTCCAACAGCTCCAAAAACGGATATCGAATAAAACTGAATGTAACACTATCACATTGTCTACAAAGATATTATTTTTCATAAAAATTTTTACAAAAATTATGCCATTTGTCAAAAACTGCGTCGTTTTAAACTTCCAACAGCTCCAAAAACGCGCATCGAAGAAAACCGAATGTAACACAAAATTTTGTATCGCAACAAACGTGTATCTTCCATGCTAATGATTTACTGTCTTTTAATTTTATTTTCTTAGAAATAATTTTTTTATGTTAGTCAAACTTCCAGATTAATTTAAAAGTCTTAAACTGCATAAATTCCATTTAATTTAGAGTCATTTTTATTTTCTTATATTAATAATTTAGTTACTTCACTCAATTTTTAGTGATAAATTTGAAACGCTTCAAAAAATAAACTAAACGCATAATAAAATGAAATATTTTCCATTCAAAAAGCTCAATGGGTTATTAAACACCTATTTTTTATGAAGAAAAATATTTAAAAGTAAAGAAATTAGGAGGAATCGTATAAATTGACTAGTAGAAAGAAAAAAAAAGATGAATGAATGTGTTGGTGTATGTATTCAAACGTCATTAATTTATAAAATTTATTTCCTATAAAGAGAAAATATTTTTTATCTAGACTAACAAAAGTTAATTGTCGGATAATTAATAATGAACAGCTTCCGATTACGAAATTCCCACAAGAAATTATTCAGAACTTCCGCCGCTTACGTCGCTCAACTCAGATACAGCGTTTCAGACTGGTTTTTCTCATCTTGACGATCAAATATGCAATATGCAATAAGAAAAAAAATGCAATAAAAATGCGAAAATCAAATATGCAATAAGAAAAAAAAAATGGCGCCAGTTTTCAATGCCACTAGAATTCATTCTATTAAATTGTTCCAATTTTCTGAACAATTTTTCTCGTTATGTTTTAATACATATAAATTTCTGAATACAAAGATCTTTGTAAAGATTTTAAACAACTTTATATAAAAGCATTACGGTGTAAGTTCTTAGGTTCAGAGTATGCCATGCCATATTGCAGTGCAAATATTTGTTATTGAGAAGAAAAAAAAATTATTTCGTTATTCTGCTAATGCAATCGGCATTTCATTTAATATTTTCGGAATTATTACTAAGGATATTACATAAAAGATAAGAATTGAAATAAAGACAAGAGTATCTGAAATTTCAAAAAATTGCTAAACTGTTTAAAATAATTATTTACGGAATAATTTTGGGGTGCTAATAGCCAAGTCATTAGATAACAATCATAACTTTCGATGTACATTTATTCTTTTAAATATTTGAGGGATTGTTATTACTTATTAAAAATTAATTTAAACTTGTTACATAAACTTCAATTTCGTTGATCTCACCCTTTCAGCCTCACCGGGACATGTCCCGTCTAAAAAAACCCACATGCCCCAGCCCCCGCACTCCAACTGCTCTAAGAGATAATTTTTTTTTTATTTTAGCAAAATATTGTTATTTTTACCTTATTTGATAAAGTGAAGCCGTAATTTGTCTTTTTATTGGAAAAGTAAAAATTGGTCTTGAAAGGCTTAAATAGCATCCAACTAAAATTTTGGTTTAGATTTTTCCTTTTCGTTAAGGGTCTTAAAAAGTATTAATATACTTAAGAAATTAACAATATAATCTAAATCGATAATACCACAAAATCATTGAAGCTGTATTTAGTTGAGCCACCTAAGAAATAAATAGGAGAAAAAAAAATTTAAAAATTCTTTACCACTAGCATCTTCATTCCTTTGATCTATTCTCGTTTCTAGGAGATGTTCCAACATCTTTTGGGGAGTGCCGGCCATAACCATATATCTAAATAGGGATATAGGTAAAATAACAAATCACTTGCTTTCCTAGCATAAAATCTACAAAGACTGCTTTAGTAATAGATAAATAAAATAATTATCTAGCCTGAGAATCGTGAAAAGAGTTAATCATATAAATATTTTATTTTATGGATGCACAAATAATTAAACGCGGTGTTCTTTAAAGACCGTCCTTAATTATTTTTTAAACTATTTTTCAAAAAATGAAAATGAAAAAAAAAAACTTATTAATTTTAAGGCACACAAGGTGATATTTAAACACATGAAACACTAAAATACATAAAAAATCTAACGAATCTTTGAAGCAGGGAGTGCTGAAAACGTAAAAATCCGTTTGATTGCCAGAACTATTTAGAGGAGAATCAAAGTGTTTTTTGATGACTCTCGCTATGCCTGAAGTACTAGTGATCCGACGGATTTCAATGGCGTGTTTGTTCGTCTAATTTGCGACCCTTTGATAAGTTTATTTTTTACATCACTTTTGAAAAGAATTCATAAAATCTATATTAAAGACAAAAAATTTGTATTTAAAGCAATACTGTTCACAGATTTTAAAAGATACATACGTGTAATGTATATGAAGATTTGCAGATTTGATTTGCAAATTTGATGAATAAAACATTTTGATACGCGCTATTTTAACATGTAATTAAATCTACATAGTAAATAAATTTGCTCAAATATTTTGAAAAATAGAATAAATTAGAAAAATAATTTAAGATTATCATTAATCATTAATTAAGATAATCATTAATAATTGTCTAAAGTAAACGAAAGCTCTAAATGAATAATAGAAAAGTGAAACAATACATGATGATTTTCTTACTTATAATGTGAATGGGTGCCATCTGGTGCCCTACTATCAGTTGGAATTTTCTGTAACAGTAAGACATCTTGACCATGTTCTTTTAATCGAACAGTATTGGCTTCGACATCCTGAAAATTAAGACATACTTGTACTTTATCTACTGTCTAGAGAAGTTAGTACTCCTTATTACTACAATTGTTTCACTTTCACTTCATTTGCTTTCAAAAAAGAATTGAACTTTAATTCTATCGATCGATGTTTCTTTTTTATATTTGCTTAGGTATATTTTTTGTACATTTTCGATATAACGATATCGAATAATAACGTCTGTTTTCGTTCGGTCAACCAGATTCGTTAAACCAAGCGTCGACTGTATTTTTTGACAGATGTTGCAAGCTGTCAAATTTAAAACTATTAACCTTTGAAAAAAAAGACTTAAGTTACGCAACTTTTTACTAAATTTAGTATAACTTTTATTGCATTAAGCAACATAAGTTCCATGCAAAAAGTTTAGTCACATAGAACATTTACTTCAGTACAAAAAAATAAGAAAACGGTTCTATATTCAAGGCACGCATTTTAACACAATAAGCAGCAAAATCAAAAGGATCAAAATCAGTAAAATATATATATACAGATAAATTTTGAAGGAAAAAAAAGTTTTGAGGTATTTCTAATTTACAAAGTAAAATCTTCAGTGTTATATTTCATCATAAAATAAAAGTTTTTATTAACATATTAGCAGTTATACTTAATTATTCTTTTATCAACTTTGCAAGGCATTTAAAGGCATCGAAATAACTATTTTTTTCTGTTCGAAAAGTTCAGTTTTTTTTCCTTAATAATCGGAAAACTAAAGATAGATGTAAGAGACGTGAAATTTTTGTAACATAAATAATAGCTTGAAAGCACAATAGATACGAAAATATAGCAAGTACAAACATAAAACAAGTAATAATTTCAGCCTTTTAAAATAAAATGAAACTTAAGTTGCTAATAAAATTATGACAAATAAGAGTCTATAGTTATTGAAATACGATAATTATATATAGCAATTTTGAAATAAAGTAGGCACGCTAATAGAAATTTATAAAATTTTAATACAACAGATTTTTATAATTTAAAATAAGATTGCCATAACATGTCATAAGATTGTCCTATAAACAGAAATTTTAAAAAAAATGCATGTAAATATTTTATTAATTATTAAAAATATATACTTTTTACGGAATTTCCTTTTTTTAGAAAGAAACAGTACTTACCCTAATAATATTGTTGAAATCATCTTTGTCTACCCTAAGGAAATGACAATTGTTCTCTCTTGTAACAATTGTAGCTGCTCTGAAAGAAGAAATAAAAAGAGTTTTAGAGATATCATTTTGAATAATTGATTGTAATTAAATGACGGAATGTCGTCGTATTCAGCAATTAAATCAGAGTTAAATACATATAAAAGCTTATTTTAAGCCCATCATAAAAGGCGAGACTCAATCTGCGAGATAATTTAAGAGAATTCTTTATAAAGCGTTAATTAAGAATATAGAATGGGAGTTATAAAAAATAAATTCAATTAATATTTTGCATATTTATTTTAAATATAATTACCTGGGAGCATCGTTAACTAGTGCCAATTTTCCGAAATCGTCTCCTTCATGCAAGCTGCACACAACACCCTGGCAAGAAAAGAAATATTTACAACATAGAAAGAAAAGCCACCAATTCTAATAAGAAGTTTTTACTTCCCCCCTCCCAGAAAAAAAAATAAAAATATTAAATAGGAAATATTTGCAGCCAACAAAAGAGCATCTATTTCCATTTTAAAGCATAGTGAGAATAATTCCAATAAGTAATAACTATTTAAAAAATAGTTTGTATTTTAGTAAAGGAAGGAATTTAAAAGAGTTACAATTCAAATGTTATTGTAATTTCATGGGTCCCATGCAATGTATCTTATACTGGAGTTAGAAGAATTTTAAATCTCTGAGAAAATTCATTTTTTTATAATAAAATAAATTTAAAGTTTGAACTTTATGTGATTATAAATTTATGTTAACGCAGTTATATTTTGTAATATCTGACTGAATTTTCCGCATTGTCAATAGTTTAAACGCATTTCTCCTTAAAATTCGTTGCGTTTGCTTGCTTCGTCTTGTTTTTAATCTATTTTATTTAGTTACTATTTATAGCTTGAAAAAAAATTTAGATGTAGCCAATAATTTACGAAATTAAATAACTTACTATGCGTAAAAATGCGTAAATAGAATGAAATTTAAAAATAGTAATTTACAAAAGTTTTTAAAGTAGCTTTACTAGTAGCGCGAAACTATACTTTTGAACTTTTGCAACAGAGGAAAATAGATGAATGTTAAAAACAACAATGCTTAAAATGCATGAAAAGTTAGAAAAAAAATTCATATTTAGGATTTGAAAATGCATATAATGACATAAACGTAGCTGAAAATCAAAAGTCACTTATTGTATTTATCAATCTATTGCTAAATTATAAATAATAAGTAGAACGAAAAGTATAAAATAGCTAATAAATTGTTTTTTTTAAAAAAAAAAACTCTTTAAATATTAAGTAAAAAATAAAAATAAAAAATTCAAAAAATTTAATGTACTTATAGCTTGTGTTTTAGGAAGCTTTCTAATTTACAGTTTAAGACAGTCTAATGCCTCAAAAAATCAATTTTAAAATTTCTCCAACGCAATTCTTATAAAAATATTTAATGAAAAAATTAAAACTTTACAGAAAATACGTTATCTTTCATCGAAATAATTATTCGCAGCAAACGATACAGAGAAGTTCCTTTTTTCTATATTCAAACTAAAATAGTTATTTGCAGTTGTCAATTTTCAATTAAAAGATAAAACAGTTTTTTAAACGAAAGAAAATAAATTTTTATTTTCATATTTTGAATCTTAAAAATATTAAAAATATATATATATATTACAAAACTGTTGTATAAAGCTTTAAATACTCAGAACCATAATGATTAAATTACTTTTCTTACTTGTTGATTTATGGATATGTTTAGCTTCTTTTTAATAAGATGTTTTAAAATCATGATGAACTCTATAACCGTTGGTAAGCGTTTATTTTACTTGTTTTAATGTCTTTTTTTCCATTTTTTTAATCTAAGTTGCATTTTATTTAAAAAAAAGATGATGTCATGTCTTGATGTTTCCCGGTTGCAATAATTACTGCGGAAAATCTTAATTTCCATTTCCCTTAACTCACTTCGTAAAAGCTTTCCGTAAAATTAGTTTCATTTTAGTTTCACTCTATTTACTTTCTTAAAACAGGTTTTATTCTTAAAATTCCTTTCTGTTTCAGCACTAGTCATTGAAATCACAACTTTCCATTTTCTGATAATAATTTGATTTCACATTTAAAAATCGTCTGCGTTTTTTTTATTTATTTTTTTTTATCGTGAAGATAGATAAAAATACTTGTTTAGGAAAGTAAATGCAGCTCAAAATGTGCATTTAAAAAAACAGTCCCAGTTCAAAATGCGTGTTTCAGAAAATAGGCAGAGCTAAAAATGAGCATGCAAGAAAACGGAAAAAACGCAAAATGCGCTTTTTTAATGTTAAACCAAAATTTCAACAGGTAAGCGAGGAATTTCGATTACTTTTTTAATCTCTAAGCATTACCATTCATAGCCAAGTTCTGGACCTCAGGGTGGCAGTGGCTGAATATATTCCAGTTATAACTTTTCAAACCATATCAATGCATTCAAATCTCTTAACAATAATTATTAAAAAACGAAGTTTTACAACGTAAATTTACTACCAATATTATAAATTTATCAGCCTATAAAAATTCTTTATAAAAACACTAAGTTAAAAAGTGTAATAAGTGATTCATGTAAAATGTAATAAGTGAAAATATAATAATCAGCATTAAGAATTTATTTGAATTCATAATAAATTCATAAAAAATAGAAATCCTTTGAGTAGCTCTTACACTTTAAAAAAAAAAAAAAAAAACTTCTTAAAAGTAATTGGAACAACAAAATCGAATGTTATGTCCATAAATAGTTTCCGTCCAGTTTATTAGATGCTCATTTTGAGTCATAATATTTGATGAAAATGAATTTAAGTACACTACAGATCACGGTTAATTCTCGAACTACAATCAAACAACATAAATATGATGTTTCTAAGCCATTTTTTGCTAACATATACCAATTCCGATGCATGGACTATATAATGTATAATATAAAATAATGCATAATATGAAATGATGTATAGTATAAATGTGTAATATAAAAATATTGTTCAAAATTTCTAAAATTCAAAAGCTATAGATGAGTAGTACTTATTTGATTATATGATTGCAAAATATATTACTTTGTGATGTCTTACCTTTCCGTAAATGACGACATTAACAGCTCCTTTAAGAATAATAAACCATGACTTTCCTTCATCTCCTTGGTTGAAAACTGAAAATTACAAACAAAAATATATTACAAAACTATTTTTGAGTTATAACAAAATCGAATTTTTAAGTGCTTAATTCCAACGATACGTTAGCGCTAGATCATGCTAATTACTTAAAACCATAAACAGTGATAATGACGCACTATACATTCTCTGAAATATTTAAAGAGACACCTAATTCACTTTTAACACCTAAACACCTAATTCACTTTTAACACCTAATTCACTTTTAACACCTAATTTAAACACCACTTTAAACACCTAATTCACTCTTCGAGTTGGTGAGTAAGAAGGGAGAGGAACATATTCAACTATTGTTCATTTAAAAAAAAATTATTTTAAAAGTTTTTAGATATTTTTATATTTTTTTAACTCTTATAGCTGATCATAATTTTACATTGTTATAATATGCAACTGATTTAAATTATTATTTCTTGAATATATATATATTTTTTAATACTGTCAAAATTATATTTCTGAAGTAGATTTGGCCCATTAAAGAGGGTATGCTGAATCGGTTATTCAAAATAAATGCTTTAAAAAATTAAGATTACCTCAATAAATAACACTGGGGAATAAAAGTGTTGTTGCATTAATACAAATACTTGATCTTGACTGCTTCCTGTGCGAGAATTTCATATCTGAAATTAGTTTTGTTCCTTAATATACCGATTTTTTTAAATGACATTTTTAGTCTATTTTCATCGAAATGTACAAGTTTACAAACATTATATGTATGAAGAGGTCGCAAAAATGTTGCAACAAATTTCTTTACATCATGCAAACTACATTGGAACCTATCCTCAGAAATGACGTAGTATGCGCAAGAGGCGCTTCCTTATTTTGACCTGTTCAGATGAACACGAAGAAGGAATTCATGTAAGTAGGTGCCTCTAGTGCTGTATGTTTTACATTAAGCAACCCACTACGCATAAATAATTTGGATTTAAAGTTAAAAATCAACAAGTATACTATTTACAAAAAAAGCAAATGGAAAAAATAAACAAAAAAAAAACTTGTTCGTTTTTGTGCCTGATTTCAGTACTAAAATATCGTTTGGTTTGCATAGATTAATTAGCATATTTATGATTAGACGTGTGGGCCTTTAAGATTGCCTCTTGATAGCGAAATCCGACCACTAAATCAAAAGTTATTGTTTTTTATTATTATTTCTGCGCATTCGCGCACTTATAAAAATAATAATGGAATACAACAAAGCTACTCTGATAAATATAGTTAATTATACTTCGCTAAGCGTGGTCAAATAGTGTGTACATACGTTTTAATGTGTTTATATTTTATACCTCATTATCTTAAGAGCTATAGGCAGTTGCTAATCCTCCTCCACCCTTCTAAACACCTTCTGTGCATGTGACACATTAATGGGGGGAAAAAAACACTTACGGACTGTTCCGGCTTTTGGGTGGGATTCGAAGACTAGAACGCCAGCCAGCTCCCTTTTCACGCTGTTGGAGAGATGAGACAGTGCTTTTATGTGAAGTAGCTCTTCATAAATTATCTCCAGATCTTCTTCAGTACGCTCACAGGACCTGCCAAAGAGAAGAGTTAAATATTCATTGCAAACAACAATGCAGAGTATGCACCACCCTTTTCGTGTATTATTTTAATTGTGAGATGCCGTGCATTTGCTGATGTGTCATTCTTTGAAATTAGTATAATAAGGATATTGACCCCCTTTTATAAAGATTTCCTTTGGGGTCGCGCTATATCATATTGAATAAATGATTAATAATAGGGAACATCGTTCTTTTAATTTGGAAAGAATTTGGCTTACAATTAAAACGCATTAAATAAAGAATTTCTAGTTTTGAGTTATTTGATTTTTCTGGTTTAAAATATTGAAATTCATCGAGGATGAAACTTGATAAGTCATATTTTTATTGTACTATTTCTTTTTAATAAGTCACAAAACTTTATTACTTGAAAGTGTGCTTTGCTTGCAAATGATTTAAACAAAAAGGGTTGATTTCGATTCGTGTAAATATTTTTTTCTTGGTCATTAATTTTAAATTTGGGCTTTCCACCAAAAAAAAATGTTTTAATGATAAATACACAGAGAAAAGCTTCTAAATTATTTAAATAAGATTGCAGAAATTTTCAAAATGTTTTCTGAATCACAAAAAGTCTTCATTACGTTTATAATAATTTCGCAAAAGTTTCAAAACTTTATTTCTTAAAAGTGTGTTTTACTTGTAAACGATTTGAACAAGAAAAGTTGATTTCTGCTCCACTAAATCTTTTTTTTTTTTTTGCCTTTTATTTTCAACTTTTCACCAACAGATAATATCCTAAACTATAAAATGATAAATACATAGAAATAGAACCTTAAAAAGATATTAGAACATTTAAAAATGATAACAAAAATATCTAAAATGTTCGCTTTATATGACATGTATAATAATTTTACAATTTCAAAGCAATTAGTTAAAACATTTTCAGAACAAGCTCCTCGCAAAATCTTCAAAATAAATTATCCAATTATTATCTTCGTACAGATAATACAAATACTTATAATATTAACCTTGCAAGGCAATTATTAGAGACTAATTTTGCAGTTTTCAGAAAATGAATTTTGCATGTTTTATTTAACGAAAATAACAGATGATAGTTATATTTATTGCATTATAAATACAAAAATAAATTTAAAAAATATCCATCAGACCCTGATATGTTTTTATTAGCAAATAATGCTACATTCGTTGTTCGTATAAGATGTGAATAATTCTAAAGTATTTCCTACGCAAAAGTAAATGCCAAATTTGTTTATGCTTTATATAAAAATGAAAATAAAATGTTAGCATAAAAATTTGTTTTATTTGTGATACATTAATTAAGCAATATTAATTTGCATTAACAAACACGAATAACATAAGGAGCAACGTAAAATTAAGTAACTTACTAAATCCCGCTAGGAATTTGACATCTTACTTGTTTGAGTAAGTCCGAGTGTAGCAATGAATAAACACATATTATCTAAGAAACTATGTCAGGTAGATAAGGGTATTCAGAAGAAGAAAAAAAAAGTTCATTCACGCTTCAATCCCCATTTCGAATCTTTTATCTTGTATATTCGTTTGTTCGTTATAAAGTTCGTCTTTATTAACACGCAAGTTTTTATTCGGCAAAGCACTTATATCCTTCAGTATTCTTCATAGCTAAGACACTGTTAAATATTTTTAATTTTTTAATTGAATGCTTCTAGAATATGTTATCGTGTAAAACCTTTTAGGCTTTTTTTTCAGTTCTCATAAGTCTGGTCACAGTTGGTTAGTGCTTCTTGGTTATTTAAATTTATATTTAATTTTGTAATTTTTCCTCGTTAATAGGATATTTTGTAATTTCCTGAAAATAACCTTTTTTTAATTTTTTTTCGAATACTGATTTACTTTTGCAAGTTAGGTTACTAACTTTTAAAAATAAAAAGCTCGAAAGCATTTTTTTCTTCCATGAAATAGTTTCAAGTTTAAGGGGAGTTAATTATTCATTATAAATATGGCATTGAACAAAGCATGCTTTAACAAATTTTATTTAGAATAAATAAATCAAAATTACTTAAACTTAATTGTAATATTTAATTTTTTCATACGTTAGATTTTGTCTATAGGAGTTTGGAGGTCTTGAAACAATTCAGGCAACAAGAAAATAACGCAAAGAAAATAATTTTTCCCCTTTGATAGGATATTTTGTAATTTCCTGAAAATAACCTTTTTTCAACATCTTTTCGGATATTGATTTACTTTTGCTAGTTGGGTTGCTAACTTTTAAAAATGAAAAGCTCGAAAGATTTTTTTTTCTTTTATGAAGTGGTTTCAAGTTTACGCGGAGTTAATACTTCTTTATAAATATGGCATTGAACAAAGCATGCTTTAACAAATTTTATTTGGAATAAATAAATCAAAATTTTTATTTGGAATAAATAAATCAATTCAGGCAACAAGAAAATAATGCAAAGTACATGGAAAAAAATAAGTCGTGATTATAATTTTCATTAAAAATATAATGTGTATTTATATTTTTGATAAATTGCTAACTATTTTTCCTTTGCAATCAACCATCGTCATATAGCCATGGGCCAAATTAAGTTAGCAGTAATTGTTAATCACAACATAAAGACTTTAAACGTTTTGCATTGGGCCCATGTAACTAATTAGAAAATACACCATTCATTATTCATATGATCTGATTTATTTCGGGTAATTTTCAATAAACCCAAAGTAGCTGAAGCTTTCACTATAAAGCCTTAGCTAAAGCTAAAACTAACATTAAAAATTTAGAACAATTAGTCTGAATAAAAAAGCTCTAATAAAGTAATTCTTTAAAGAAATTCAAAATAGCATGATGACTAGTAGGCTAATTATAATAAGCTTAAACAAATATACGCATATGATAACAAATGTTTTAATCATTAGGTTTAATAGAAAAATAAATATTTCATTACTTTTCATAACTATTAAAATGCATGCATTTTTTCACACTATGAACTATTGTAGTTTGCTTACAACTGAGGTGTATATATATATATATATATATACACCTCATACGAATCTTTCTATATTAATTCATAGATAAAAATAGATT